GGAACGTTTTGGCACTAGCTTTGGCATGTTTCTGGCACTAATGTTTAAATATTAATATTTTACGTAGATCATGAAACTGCTATCATGCATAGATTGCAAAGTATTGTTTTGGAACATACTCAATTACTTCTGAAAGTAATGGAATATACAGCTGAACTTGACTGGTAAATATTCTGTATTTTATCGAGATAAAATTATTATGTATCCAGGCCCAACTTTTCAACACGTGATGTGGCCACTAATCACTATTCAAGTAGTAATCTTCAGAGTTCTGCAATACGTCTTACAGTAATTTTCCCAAGAGGGTACCACACACCTCTTTCTATATTTGCTCTTCTTTAGCACTCGAATTTCGTCACTGATTGCAGCGAGTGAACTGTGACCATGTTGACATTTTGAAGACACACGATATGACGTCATGCGTGGCGAGAACAAAAGTGATCACGAGCCACTGGGCGAGTGATTCAATGTTTTACCATGCATGTTATCACCAAGCTCGCACCATGCATTTGTCCTGATTTCTGTTCTATACAAAACAAAGCACGCGTCATTGATTCGTGATGCTGCGTAACGAGCTGTAATTGAGATATTACGTCCGTGAAATGGCATCATCCGTGTAATAGATTATGGCATCGACCAACAAAAAGTCAGATTATATTATATAATACCTTATTGAATTCTGATCGTTTAATTGGCTGTTTATGGTCACGTGATATTGAATAGAAAATTCCATTTCCCAAGAGTGCAATGGAATGCGTTCCATTGCACTCTTGCGAGTGCAATTGTACTATACGTTTTGTTCCATTGCACTCTTTGTGTTTTCGATAAATCGCATCCGTCAAAATGCTTCTCGTACGGTGATCGCAGTTTATTTTAACCCGATATTCGAAACTCAGTAAATGGGATTTAATGCAAATACGACTCGTCAAAATGGCGAAAGCTTACAGTATTAAACCTTTTAATATTAGTCTATTTTGGTATTATATAAAACAAATAATGAATGTTATTATTCGTGCATGGTAAGAATATGTTCATTCGGTGAAAGATGGAATGTTCCATTCAACTCGGCTGTCGCCTCGTTGAATGGAACATTCCATCTTTCACCTCATGAAAATATTCTTACCATTGCACTCATAAACATTCATTATTTGTATAATATAACAGGCTATAGTAAACTTTATGTAATACCTTATTGAATTCTGATCGTTTAATTGGCTGTTTATGGTAACGTGACATTGAATAGAAAATTCCATTTCCCAAGAGTGCAATGGAATACGTTCTATTGCACTCTTTGCGAGTGCAATTGTACTATACGTTTCATTCCATTGCACTCTTTGTGTTTTCGATAAATCGCATCCGTCAAAATGCTTCTTGTACGGTGATCGCAGTTTATTTTAACCCGATATTCGAAACTCATTAAATGGGATTTAATGCAAATACGACTCGTCAAAATGGCGGGAGTTTACAGTAAACCTTTTAATATTATATAGTCTATTTTGGTATTACATAAAACAAATAATGAATATTTTCATTCGTACTCGGCTGTCGCCTCGTTGAATGGAACATTCCATCATTCACCTCATGAAAATATTCTTACCATTGCACTCATAAACATTCATTATTTGTATAATAATAAACTATATACTTTTAAATCTCTTATAACTATAGCAGTAATTTAGTCAGTTACTGATTTGTATCATGTTTGATATATTTTTAGTGTAATTGCTCTATCTGTTCATGCGAAAGAAAATAACTATGCTTGTCCAGATCTGACTGAAGAAAATCTTTTGACTATCAAAGGAGGAAGGTGTGTGAACTATAATAATGTGCATGATATATTTCAGGTGTAACATTCAGATGTGCACGGAATTGATATGCATAGTTGGTGGAAATTTTCAAAACCTGTAATTTTTTTGATGTACGATTCACAATCACTTTGTTTTATTATTGTTATTTGGTTTACGTGGTTACCTATCTTTTTATATGTCTCGGCTTGTGTTCAGGTTAAAAACTATTGAACGTTTAAATTTTTTGTCTATGGATCAAAATATTATTGACGCCAAATTCACAGCTGCTTTGCGAGTTCAAACATCATTTCTAGCTGCATGGTCTGCTTGCAACTGGTAAAAAGGTGACAGACTAGACTGTAGTTAATATTTATTTGATTAGGCATCCATTGCAAGAGATGTACGTCACGCCATTTGTGGCCAATGATACTCATGTTGAAAAGGAAAAATCGAGAATGAAGATATTAACTGGACCTAATGCGAGTGGGAAAAGTGTCTATCTTAAACAGGTAATGCAATGTAGACTTCGTGTACTTTTACGTATAATAGTCCGTCGTGTCCATGGGGATGGGAAAATGGGACCATATCCCAAGAAGACTTTTTGTTGTCAACAGAAAGAAAATACGAGAATTAAATTAAATCATCGTGCGGGAGAGGAAAATTTAGGAGGGCAGAAAGAAATGTGTCCGACGTTTTTGCATTTTGACCGACCATCTAAAATTTTGGACTATTATCTTACATATTTCTTGCTTTTCAATTTATTTCCCCCATCTGTTTGCCCAACTTGCGTTTAAAATTTGCCCAACTTTATGAGGGGGGAACTGGCTCTCCTGCCACCCCTCCCTCCCCGTTGTCTCGTAAGTATGTTCTCAACCTCTCCTGCATTAGGTGGTTCAAGACTACGATGATTGTAAAATAAAACCCTAACCATTCGTATACCTGCCACGTGTTTACTGCATGTACGTCAACTGTCAGATATGACGGCAATTCTCACTTTAGGTTGGTTTGATTGTATTTCTGGCGCACATTGGAAGTTATGTTCCTGCTGAGTCAGCAACTATTGGTATCACTGACAGGATATTTACAAGGATTCATACTCGAGAGACAGTGTCTGTAGGATTGTCCACTTTCATGATTGATCTCAACCAGGTAATCTTCAACAAGCATCAGAAAAGACGGTCGGATGAATTCGGAACCGTACTCAAATTCGTTGGGTTTCGGCCTTGCTTGCACTCGGGACGCATGAAACCGGACGAATTCCAGCACAGCTAACCGTACGAATTCGAGGCCAGATAAAATTAGGTCTCACTTTGTACCGAAATGGCGGCTAAATTAGACGGCGCTATATGCGGAACGGGTCTCTTTGGAGACCATTTCGCACGGTGGAGGATTGTGATTGATTCCGACAGAGACCATCTGCGCACGCGTACGTAAATACTTCCGGGACTACAATTCATCCGGTTCCGTGTGAACACTTTTTGTTTCGTAATTACTTGAGTTCCGTGTGAATATGTAGAACCGGACGAATTTGAGTACGGTCCCGGATTCATCCAGCCTAGAGTGACGCAGACTACGGCAAAGCAAAGAGATGCCGAGGGCATCAATACACACAAATATATCAAGCTATAGCAGTATAAAACTCTTAACTACTTTTTAACTACCCGTTTCGTAGTTAAATAGCAGTTAACTCTAAAATACGCGATTCTGATTGGTCAATAATAATTCTAGTTAACTTTAATCACTTTTTATACAACCCCAGGCATCCAAGCATAAAGTTAAGACCGTTTCCCACTTCAACCGTATCGTACCGAAGCGTAGAATATTTATTGGTTTCCTGAGCACTAGAGTGGGACTATAATGACTTGGACATAAAAGAAAATGCTACGATTCTGTTGAAGTGGAGAACGCCCACCTTAACGCGACACAAAATTATCCCCTCTTATGAATAGTAAAGAAGATTGAGTAATGAGTAATTAAAATTAATGCATTAATAATTTTTAATCTGGGGCCGGTTGTTCAAAGCTGGTATCAGCGCTAACCCTGGGTTAAAATTTAACCTGCTGTTTTAGTTTCTGTATTTTTACACGTCTGTTTGTTTCAAAACTTCAGAAAAGAAAACTTTCATTGATCCACACAAGATTTCTGAAGAAATATTTCCAAGTTCACAAGCAAGCTGTTGCTTTGAATTTTAAGTAATATTTCAAATCTGACTATGAAAAACTACTAATTGGACTGGACTAGATTTCAATTTGATCCGAGGCGAAGCCGAGGCCTGGAGCAAAATGCGAGGACTTGAAATGTAGTCCAGTCCTTATAGTCGGATTTGAAATGACATCTCATGCGAATAAATCACTACTAAATAAATAAATAATATATAATAAATGAATAAATAAATGACATTTCATAATAAATCACTACTTAATTAGTTTTGATCCAGTCCGAGGACTGAATTAATTTTGATCCAGTCCTAGGACAGGATCAATATACTTCATCAGGTATCCAGTATTATCATGTGAGCAAAATAAAGCAATATATAATGGTTGGCTAATATACTCATGAATTATTAATGAGTTTGAGATGTTAGCCTAAAGTTTAGCCAACCGGCTATTGAATAACTGGCCAGGTAGGTAGACGGAAAGAATATGTATCAATCACGATTGTTGAAGGGCAATGTTCGTAATGGCAGACCTAAGTTTGTTTTTCTGTTCAGGTTGCAAGTGCTGTTCAATTTGCTGGTGAAAGATCTCTTATACTCATTGATGAATTTGGGAAGGGAACTGCAACAGTAAGTTGGACACATTCCAGACATACGATATTGATGGTACAAGGGTATATATACTTTCGCCGCGGCAACCAGACTTCATTCTTGCAGTATTGTTGTTCGTTCCATATAATTTCATCTCATTAACACGTGAGAAGAGTGCTTCCAATTTCACTCTGTGACTGCAGGATTTTCCGCGATAACTTCTGTTTTCTCTTGTAGTAACACTGTGAGATTAAGGTTTGGCCCGTATACTGGACTATCTCTACGTGTGCTATCTCCGTATTAGTAAAAAAAACTTCCGAAGATGAACATTTTAATATATTCTAGCTTTCGTTTAGTCCACTTGTGATTCAAATTATTTTGCATTCAATTAAGATTTTTCCCGTCATTTTTAGTTAATGGTTTACTAAAAATTAGTCGGATAAAAGTAACAGGGTTAGTATCGTCAGAGGAAGAATGTTTTCGCTATTTCGCTAGCGCTACTCTAGTTGAAGTAAATGAATGCAATCCACAACGAAATTAAAGCACGCATTTTGTCGATGGAATTGCATGCCACTGGAATTGCATGTTAATCTACGGTATATGACATTATTTAAGGTTGATGGACTGTCATTGTTAACAGCATGTTTAAAACATTGGTTAACTACTGTATATGACATTATTTAAGGTTGATGGACTGTCATTGTTAACAGCATGTTTAAAACATTGGTTATCTGCTGGAAACCGTTGTCCCAAGGTGTTAGTATCCACGCACTTTCACAGCATCATCCAACAGAAACTGCTGCCTCTCACACCTCTCTTACGTTTTCAGGTAGGTATTATCTACAACTATATTCCTGTTTTTATATTAATCGAATTCTACCAAACACATTTCGATAATCTTTTACCGGCTGATAGTTTCAGCAAATATGAAACTAATGTTATTCCGAAAAAAGTGTTCGAAAGAAGAACACATTTATATAAAAAACTGTATATTTCGAATTAATTTTGAAATGTATAGTTATATGCCATGTCTTGTAAATATGCTGCTGAAGATAAATCGAAATTAATATAGGTTGGGAGGATTTGGAAAAAGAATTTGTAAATAATCTCAACATTCACCATTCAAACTAGACAAATATAATTTTTGTTGACATTTTCCTTTAAGTACACTGCGCTACCATCAACAACAGCACCGTATTCCTTAGCTGATCCCATCAGCTTCGTTTGCAAGTTGTATATTTCAAATCATATAGCGTCATCACTTTTTGACACTTTGACATTCCCACTGATTTAAAAGGCAGAAAGACAGTGTGAATATCACACGAAACTGAGGAGGTTTATTTACTTCAACTCCTCATTTTAATATTTCGTTTCTTAGACGATGGAAACCATGCAGAATGGTGATGAATTAGTTTTCTTGTATCAACTTGTGGATGGTTACACCAATACAAGTTATGCATGTCATATTGCCGCTTTAGCTGGTATCTCAAGTGACCTGGTGCAACGTGGTCATGAGGTGTGTATGTGTGTGTGTGTTGTTAAACTGTTATGTTTTTGTATCAACTTGTGGATGGTTACACCAATACCAGTTATGCATGTCATATTGCCGCTTTAGCTGGTATCTCAAGTGACCTGGTGCAACGTGGTCATGAGGTGTGTATGTGTGTGTGTTGTTAAACTGTTATGTTTTTGTATCAACTTGTGGATGGTTACACGAGTACAAGTTATGCATGTCACATTTCTGCTTTTGCTGGTACTTCGAGTGACCCAGTACAAACTGGACACTAGGTGTATGGATTGTTGCAGCTGTCTGAGAAAGAATTGGACTATGGTTAAACACTTAAACTACAAACAAAATACCTCATGAAATTTATTTTATTCATAACTGAAAGATTATTTCGTTATATCAGATAAACGAAGTGATAGAGGATACCTACTATGGGAAATAACCAATATGAACTTGGAAATATGTAGGCCTACATGTCATGTAGCTCTTGATGGTTTTTCCTCCCCTATACTGTATCATTTCTACTCACCACTAACCCCCAGCCTACCTCCTACCCCCAAACATACCCGCCCTTCACTCTCTTTAACAAAGTGTGTATTGATTGGATACATAGAAATGGTTGTAGAAAGTTTGTTTACTGGTTTCATATAACGTTTGAATATAATGTCCTCTATATTAACGGCTCCCACCGTGCAACAAACCGTTTCCTCTCAAACGTTCGCAGGAAAAATTAGGCCCCGGCGGATAAATAGAAGATTTGCTGTACTACATATGAATGAACTAGGTCATAATTTTGTAATATTTTTATGTTAATTCAAGATCCTTGATTTAATTCGAAACAACAAGCCAATCAAAAGAAAAGACAGCAAAGAGAACGAGGAGGAAATGAAGAGGTGAGATTCCTGGAGGCCTGGGCGCTCAGGGCTGTCGAGAGGTTGCGCTGGACCTGGCCCTTTCTCAGGGGGACCTATGACGTCGTAAAATGAGTGTTTTAGAATATATTGCATATTATCCGAGCAGTGACGCAGCTAGGATGTATTTTCTCGGGAAATTAATTAAGGAATCTTGTATGGCCCCGGAGGAAAATACCCTTCTCTCGATGGCCCTGAGGGCGCTTATATACTATATACAAAAGTGGTGGCAACGTAAATTTGTACTCAGGTCTGTTAGGGAGTGGTCATTATTTATGGGGAGGGGGGGGTTGGGAAATGGGGAAAATAAGGATTGAAAACTTTTTTGACCACCCCCCCTCCAGACTGAGGGCAAACTTTTTGTGCCTCCTCCCCTCATAAAAGTAGAAACTTTTCTGATCCCCCCCCCCAGTGTGGATTGAAAAATTAACAGCAATGAAACAGGTGTGCGTTGCAGGTAAAGTTAGATATTAGGACAATCTGTTTAATCTAGCTCATGATGTTTTACCCTGGTGAATATGATGATTCAACCATATATGATTAAAAAAGATATATTATGTGTTACTACTTTGCAATGCAACATTTGTCCTACCATAACCCTAACCCATGACCCGTCTTCATATAGCGAAATGATTTGAACACAGGTTTTTTTTAAGAACTTGTCTGGGGGGTGGGCATCTACAAAGAGGGACCATACTATATTGAGTGTGGAGAGATGGCAGATGGTTGTTGGTGACAAAAAGTTTGGTGTGGTATCGTATGTACTAGTAGGGGGGTCTGGGGTATTCTCCCCCAGAAATTTTTTTGTATTTTTCCACCCCTAGAACTGAAATGTGAGCGTTTCTGAAACAGATTTTTGGATATACAGCGTTACATTGTGCGTTGATAGACCGAATCTGACCAGTTAAGTGTACTTGCATGGTATGTTTATGTAAATATCACAACTGGGTCACTCAGGGGGTAGAAAGCTTGTTAAACTTAGTGGGCCCGACTCCCACGATCGCGAGGCGCTACCATGGTTGGCGCCGAGCGGGAAATTTTGAAAATTTTGAGTCTCTAGATCGTTGGAAATAGCATTTTCAGAGTCTTCTTTTTTGCTATTTGTTATTATAGAAATCAGAACTCTAGACATGGTATTTAAGTTCAAAAACTTTTATGACCCCCCCTTTCTTTGTGTTAAAACTTTTTTGACCCCCCCTATTTATAAGGGTAAAACTTCGTTTGCCCCCCCCTCCCATTTCCCAACCCCCTCTCCCCATAAATAATGACCACTCGTTAGCATTGGAGTTTTTTTAATTTTTAGTTTTCAGTAACAGCTTTATTGAACGATGTTCAAACGGTAAGAGTGCGAACGGGACTCAAGATCCATGCGAGGCACTCTCCCTTTCGAATTTTGTATATAATAATAATCGTAAATAATATCATTATTTACGACAATATTATAAATTGGTAAACATATACCAGCTGATTAATATCAAATTACGACGCTATTGCGCCACATTTAAGTTATCACACATAATACAGATTTGTATAATCATGTTAAAAATTTGAAAGCTGAATCGGGATAAAACAAAACCTGACACGAGGAGCTGGTATATGTTTACATCAGAATTAACTATTTCTATGGCATGAACAGCTACGATACTGAAGACCACGTACAGCACATGTCAACATCAAAACTACTACTTAATAAATTAAAGTATGTTCCTGATAAGAAGGATTTAAACGTTGCCAAACTGCGAAGATCTCTAGGAGAAGCAATTTTGCAAGTATGATTCCAGAGTGGAACAATACGGTTAAAGAACGATGACTGAAAAGTGCTACTTTTACATGACGGGACTTTAAGCACTAGAGAAGGATTATTACAATTACTGGTACGACTATGATTAACAAATGACACAAAATCGAAAACATCCAAATCATAAAAACCATGCAAAGTTTTAAACATAAATGTCAAATCCTTAATTTCCCTGTCAACGCCAGTGGTAAAAGATTCAGAGCCAGCAATCTGTCCTTGTAGGTCATGTCACCTTTCTTTGATTGAAGGATCCATCTTGTTGCACGCCTTTGGACTTGCTCCATATTTAATTTGTTATTATATTGGGAGGGAGACCAAACCTCTATGGCATAGCATAATTGTGACTTGACGAGCGAAAGGTACAGAGTGCGCCGGATACTGCGGTCTGTTAACAAGGGGCATGTTCTTCTAAGCAAACCCAGCAACCTGTTCGCCTTGACTTTTATTTTGTTGATTGTTGATATGGGTTGTCCACGAATTAAGGAATCTTGTATAGAGCACGTGTCTTAGAATAAAGAGAAAAAAAACTTTGGCATTATTTTGTTTGCAATTTTTCATTCTTCTCTGGGAGAGAGATTCAGTGCATTCATTCAGATCATCATCTGATGACAGTCTGGCGAGCCGCAGGCTATTCATGTCAAAAGGCAGAATTACTGGAAAATGTCGAGCAGCACCGCTACCAGGAAATTTTTAACCAAACCTCTTCGTAGGAAACGTTTTTATCATCTTATATCCTGGCATGCCATATAATTTACTTGAGCCTCGGTGAAACAGGGATGAAAGTTGATGCCAGCTCACATCCACTCATGAGTCGATTCAAGTTTTGACGAGAGTTGACGAGTTTTCCGAGCTACGCATGTGCTAATCAACTCTTGTTCTCATTTAACCGGACCATGAGAGTTGAGAAAACTGTCATACAATTTCTCGCTTCTCAACTCTCATGCAACTCTTGTTCTCGTTTGACTGGAACATGAGAGTGAAGAACATTTTCATGCAAACTCGCGCATCTCAACTCTCATCAACTCTCATGCAACAGCTCTTGTTCTCGTTTGACCGGGGCATGAGAATTGAGAAAACTGTCGCTAATTCTCAACTCTCATTCTCGTTTTACCAATGCTTTATTGTTTACAAAAGTGTTGTGCAAGTTGAGATTGTCTTGTGCGGAGATTGAAGTTTCTCACAATGTGCGGCAGAAGTTTTATGTACATATGCAAGAAGTTTTAGATTGGACTAAGGGCCTGTTCATATGGGCAAAAGTTATCCCGGTTAACGAGAGAACGTTTCGACTAGCCAAATACTTTTGTTCTGTTCGTATGGAGAAATATTATCCCACTTACCGGGAAAAGTTTCCGGCTGTGACGTAGCACTGAACATCAATTGAATTGAAAAGTTGCTGACACGACAAAAAGTTATCCCGCTAAGCGGGAAAGTTGTGTTCATATGGGGAAAACATTATCCCGGTCACCGAGATCTCGCCTGTCAACAAGCGAGATCTCGGTACACGGGAAAACTTTTCGTCTCATATGAACGCAATGTAACTTTTCATATTATTTTCGTAACAAGGCGAGATCTCGCTCGTAAACTTGTCGAAAAGTTTTCTCGCTAACCGGGATAACTTCTGCCCATATGAACAGGCCCTAACACAGGAAATTTTGCCAGGAAGCAAAAGCTGCCAGGAAGTAAAAAGGTATTTTCTTGGGCTTGGGGGGTCACAAGGGTAATGTAGATCCTGGAGAGGCAATCCATATCATGTTTCGTTTCTAGAGAATTCCAGAGTACACGAGCAATTTTGAATTTGAATTTATTAAATTTGCCAACAACGTACTATGTACGCACAAATATTACAAATTACGAAAGACTAACTGGCAGCAATTGGATACCAGGCCTCGAATTTCCCTGAAATCAATCGACGGCAATGGCATTAAAAATTGCCGTAGAACGTAACAGCTGTCTACGGCAATTTTGGCAGTTTCCACGGCATTTTTTCAAATTACTGTAATAAAAATTTGATTTTATTGTTACTTTGGATTATTGACAAGCTAAAAACATGTTCACGTATTTCTTTAGTGTTGTTTTTTTTTCGAAGAATAGTAATTTAATTAGTACTAAAATAGTAGTTTACGCATCATTTGATCAACATCTGAATTAAAGTATCAACATAGTAAATTATGCACAGTGAATAGTATAAAAATTGCACTATACGGCAAAAAATTGCCGTCGTTGCCTCAATAATCCACGGCATTTTGTATTTTTGTTCTCCCTCTACAGCAATTAAAGTGCCCCTGTCACAAAATGAGAGTTTACATTAATAGAATCGTCTTGAAACGTAGATTATGAAAATACAAAACAGATTTAAAATTGAGCTTGTTTTCACAGAGTAATAAGGCAATGAAATTTGAAAATTTCAAATTTTAACGGCAAAAGTTTTAGAAAACCGCGAAGCTGGGGAATTGGTAACTAATACGTCATAGTAGGAAGACATTGCCTACTCGCCTAAGCCAAAAGTGTATAAATACTAAGTCAGAACTGTGGTCAGAATCACAATCAAGCTGGTCAAAATTCGATACAAATGTCTTCGTCGAATTCAGATACGGAAAATAACAGTTACCAAAGCGATGACTGACTGAAATTATATTCCTGAGCCGTATCAAATCGAGTGAAATTGATGAAAACACCAGTGAAGCGTAGTCAAGCAGCGCCGCCGATCATTCATGTGCCCGACGAAGATTGGCTCAAAAGTTACCGTGAAAAAAAGCAATCGCGACGAACGCGTCTTAAGCAACTACAACAAAGGCTTGATAGTTCAGAAGAATTGAGTAAATGGTAAATATTTTGTTGCGTGACTTGACCTTGCGTTTCGTGACTTGCCAGTGTTTCTACATACACAGTATTCAAATTACAAAATATAATATTTCAGGTGTAAACGTGGCAATTGTCGCATTGAACTGCTTCGTAAATTATGCTAAAGAGTGTTAATGTTGTACGGAAATTGAGGAGTGCGTCGATTCTCTACACAGTAACATTGTGATTTGTGATGCAAGATGAAGTCGCGCCATCATGTATAATTCAACAGCTTATCACTAGATAAGTGAGCCTTCCGTTCAGCAGCCACGAAATTACGAACAAGAAAGAAGCAGGAATACCGTCAAACAAACACAGAAGATGGGAAAATAAAGTTTTATTTATCAACATATTGAAATTAAGAAACAGTTTACCGTACCCGAGTTTACTATCAGTGAACACACGCATGCGGTACGGTAACTGAGAGTTTTATATACGGTACATGCTGTACAATTATTGAATTACTATATATTTACATATGTCCACATGCAAGTAAGCGACTTATTAAAAAGATTTATTTATTAATTTACAGATTCTGAAGGAGCTATTGATGAAGACTTTGTAGGATTTGTAGAGGATAGCTCTTGATCTTATAGAATTATTTTTCAATAAATAAACCTATTACACTGTATAAGCGTAGTAATATTATACTGTATTGCGTATAGAAACAGCACATTTGCTATATTCATGACTTATTACAATATTATTTTGCCAAAGAGGCTGAAATTTAAGATTAAGATTTGTATCTGTCTATCTGATGTTTTCCTGCACTTCGTGCGCGCGGGTTAATTTGTGCAAAGTGTTGCAGCGCGTTATTTTTCTGTCTTGTATTTCGTTCCAGGTATGTTCCTAGCAAATGTAGCAATGGCTAAGTTATTTCATTAAGTTGCTTCAATGGATTATATTTGTAATACATTTTATACACATCCCCACAGTGTATCAGGTTTCATGCCACAATTTGTTACAAAATCTGCATATTGTACGGGTTTTCCCTGCGGTCAAATACAACGATTTTCACTTATACAATTCTACTTTACCTGTCTGATCTAAAATACAAACAGTGCACATTGCTTGTAGACGTAAGAAATTGGCTTTCATCCACTATATTTAATATTTTGACCATATTCACTCATATATTGTCGCGATATTTTATATTTCTGGTAAATCCATTGACTGTGGCTCATTTATATTTATCGCGCTTTCGAGTTTCGTGACTATGACCATATCAACTGACTGCATTGAAGCAGCTTCTTTTACAATTTGCAGCTTCTTTTTACAATAACGAATTTGGAATAAAAATTGCACCTTGGATCTCATATTGCTCGTTTAATTAAGGTGCACGAAGTCAACCCGTCTCCTTTTCGCTTCGTGAATCTCGTCTCCAGTAAAAGGTATAAAATGAAGTGAAATGCCTTTCTCTGTATCTGTGACATTAGAACAACCGCCTACTACACATATATTCGGCATTTTTTCATTTTCGTGACTTTTATTTGCGCAATTGCCTCCTCTATGAAAGTACATGCAATAGTATTTCTACATCAGTGAGCTGGACAAGTTCCTACTATTACGTCACACGCATTGTTTCGTCCCAGTCTCTTTTGCGCGGTTTTCAGATTTTTCACAAGGCCAAATTCAATGTTTAAACGGCAATAACTTTTACACTAAAAGAGCAATTTCGATTCTGTTTTCGAATTTCCATATATTTTGTGTCATAGATTTCGAAAGTATAAACTCTCATTTTGTGACAGGGACACTTTAATTGCCGCGATAAAATTCAAGCCCTGTTGGATACATGACTGGTGTGCCATCCTACCCCCAATGACTAGAATTTTCAGGACTAAACTTTATTATACTGTACAACCTGTACTGTAGAGTATTTGAATTGAATTGATTTAATAACTACTGACTTTGTAACCCAAAAAGGTTAAATTACACCAGTATTACATAAATTAAGAGGATAAGTTAAAATTACATAATAATTACATATTTAAGATTATTTACATTTCTAAAAACTTATTTACTGTTAATCTTTAATATACTTTGAGGTAAAAACGAATTCTTAAAACGTTCGGTTCTGCAAACATAATTATGATATTTACATATCGGTCTTAGATCATATCCAGATAAAACTGTTTGTGGTAAAGATCTTTGAGATTTTCATTGTCAATATTCTTCTCAAAGAAATGTTCGCATAATTTTTCTCGTCGATCTCTCAGTGACGTGATGTTAGTCGTGATCAGCGCTTCGTCGTACTTTTGCGATGGGAGGATTATTCTCAACGCGCGTTTTTGTATTTTTTCAATATCGTCACATAAATATTGTTGGATATTGTAATGCCAGACCTGGCATGCTTACTCTAAAACAGGCCTAATAATGGTAGTATATACAGTAATTAACGTGTCAATACACGCGTTGGACCTTTTTAGCAGTCTTAGCATATAGAGCCTCTTGCTAGCTTTTTTAACTATGTTATTTATATGTTCATTCCACTTCATGTTATCTTGGACTGTGAGGCCAAGGATACGGGCAGATTTCTCTCGTTCAATATTAACTTTATCGACTGTTAAAAGGGGAAAGCAATGCTTCTTTT